TGTCTGCTAGGGCCTGCCCCCAGCTACGCCACGTAGGCTCGAAGCAGTTGTGGGGTGTGTGTGTGTGTGTGTGTGTGTGTGTGTGTGTGTGTGTATGTGTATGTGTATGTGTGTGTGTCCCCACTGGGGGTCTGCCCCCAGCCACATTGGAGGCTCAGAGCAGGCACTGTGTGTGTGTGTGTGTGTGTATGTGTGTGTGTGTGTGTGTGTGTCTGTCTGCTGGGGGCCTGCCCCCAGCCACACCATGGAGGCTTGGTGAAGGAGCCCCTCTGTGTTGATCTCTCAGGCTCCTGGCCTCCACTGCATGTTGTACTCTCCCTTAAGCTATGGCCAGGATGGGGGTGCTGCTTGCAAGCTGGGCTTTCCTGCTCCTGATCGCCATGGTGACTGGGGAGCCGACCCAGCTTGGAGCTGCCCACAGGCCGGGCTTGCTCTCCTGCTCCCAGATCCTCATGGCAACGGGGGAGAAGGCGCAGCTGGGGGCTGTCCGCAGGCCGGGCTTACTTTCTTGCTCCCGGATCAGGCCCAGTTGGGGGCTGCCCTCAGGCCGGCTTGCTTTCCTGCTCCTGGATCAGGTGCAGCTGGGGGCTGCCTACAGGCCGCACTTTTCTACTTACCGATGGCTGATCACCACAGCGACCCAGGGCCCAGCGGCACTTTCCTGCTCTCCAATAGTCATAGGGTCCCGGCTGGGGGCGGGGCTTAGCAGTGCAGGGCTTAGGCGGCACGGGGGTCCTGGCTGGGGGCTCAGGTGGCACACAGGGGTCCTGGCTGAGGGCGGGGCTTATGCCCCACTGCCCAGGGCTGCACATGGGGCCCGGATGGCAGCTCGCGCTGTCCCGCCCTGCCTGTAGTATAGGATAGAGGTGGGGGCCGGCTGGTTTTCCCTGAAAGTGTCCCGGATCAGGGTGGGGGTCCCTCTTGGGTGCCTGGCCAGCCTGGATGACAGGCTGAAGGCTGTTTTCAGCTGGTCACACCCCCTTCAGGGTGGGGATCCCCACTGGGGTGCCTGGCCAGTCTGGGTGAGGGCCTGAGAGCCGTTTTCAGGCTGAAGGGCAACTTAAGCTCCCAGCCTCTCCTTTTTTTCTTTTTTCTTTTATTCTAGGACTTATTTACCTTCTATAGCTGTCACTGGAGCTGAGAGCCGGCTCCAGCTCTGAGGGCTGAAAGCAGGTTTCTAGGTTTGTTTGGCTTCTATAATTGAAACTCTGTTGCCATCACTGCAGCTCTAAGCTCTGAGGTCGAAGCTGGCTGAAAGCAGGTCTCTGGAGCTTGTTTAGCTTCTATAATTGCAACATAGTTGCTTAGAGCGCAGCTCAGAGGCTGGCAGCGGCAGGCTGGGAACATTGGCTTCCTCTGTCACTGGAGCAAGCAAGCCTCCTGTTCACTTCAGCTGCATGGCTGCCGGCTGCCATCTTGGTTGGCAGTTAATTTGCATATCCTGCTGATTAGCCAATAGGAAGGGTGTCGGGGTTATGGTCAATTTGCATGTTTCTCTTTTATTAGATAGGACTAGAGGCCCGGTGCACAAAAATTTGTGCACTCAGGGGGGAGGGAGGGTCCCTCAGCCCGGCCTGTGCCCTCTTGCAGTCTGGGACCACTCGGGGATGACCATCTGCTGGCTTAGGCCCGCTCCCTGGGGGATTGGGCCTAAGATGGCAATCAGACATCCCTATGGCAGCCCGGCAGCCCTCGGGGGATGTCCACTTGCCAGCGGGGAGCAGACCTAAACTGCAGTTGGACATCCTTAGCGCTGCTGAGGAGGCGGGAGAGGCTCCCACCACCACCGCTGTACTGGCAGCCATCAGCCTGGCTTGTGGCTGAGCAGAGCTCCTCCCATCTGAGAGCACACTGACCACCAGAGGGCAGCTCCTGCATTGAGCATCTGCCCCCTGGTGGTCAGTGTGTGTCATAGTGACCAGTCATTCCCCGTCTTTCTGCTGTTAGGGTCAGTTTGCATATTACCCTTTTACTATATAGGATAGGGGCCTGGTGCACGGGTGGGGGCTGGCTGGTTTGCTCTGAAGGGTGTCCTGGATCAGGGTGGGGGTCCCGCTTGGGTGTCTGGCCAGCCTGGATGAGGGGATGATGGCTGTTTGCAGCTGGTCACACCCCCTTCAGGGTGGGGGTCTCCACTGGGGTGCCTGGCCAGCCTGGATGAGGGGATGATGGCTGTTTGCAGCTGGTCACACACCCTTTAGGGTGGGGGTCCCCACTGGGGTGCCTGGCCAGTCTGGATGAGGGGCTGAGGGCCGTTTTCAGGCTGGCGGGTGACTGAAGCTCCCAACCTCTCCTTTTTTTCTTTTTTATTCTGGGGTTTATTTACCTTCTATGGCTGTCACTGGAACTGAGAGCCGGCTTTAGCTCTGAGGCTCGGCTCCAGCTTGAGGCCTAGGCTGCTGAAAGCAGTATCTGGTTTGTTTGGCTTCTATAATTGAAACACTGTTGCAACTCTAGCTCGGCCGGCTGGCTGAAAGCATGGAGTTTGTTTAACTTCTATAATTGCAACATTGTTTCTTAGAGTTGCATCTCAGAGGCCGGCAACGGCAGGTGGGTAACCTTGGCTTCCTCCTTCACTGGAGCAAGCAAGCCTCCTGTTCACTTCAGCTGCCTGGCTGCCGGCCGCCATCTTGGTTGGCAGTTAATTTGCATATCACCCTGATTAGCCAATGGGAAGTGTGTCAGAGGTATGGTTAATTACCGTGTTTGTCTATTATTAGATAGGATATGCAAAAGACCTGTCTGCCAATGGATTTTCTTTTATAGCCTCATTGTTGTTTCATGGATGTATTTCTCATCTCTCTGAAGATATGTAATTTTGGTTTGTTTTACCATTTTTTTCTACTGCCTGTACTTTCCTGTTTCCTTTGTGTTCCTTTTCTATTTTGTAAGTTTGATTCTCTTTGTGTTAGGGGCTTTCTCTTCATGTGCCTGGTGTTCCTTGCTTGGCCACTGATATTTAAGAATGAGGCCCTAAAAAAAAAAAAAAAAAAAAAGAGGGGGAGGCCCTAAAAATGAGGCCCTAAAAAAAAAAAAAATGAGGCCCTAAATGCTGACTGGAGGGGGTGGGGGGAGTGGGAGTGGCTTGTTGACTGAGAAGTGAAGGATGGAACCTGTCCTGTGGAGGCGCTTGCGTCAGTATCTGTAGGTTTTTGAGCAGAGAAGCTGTTTTCTTTCCATTGTCCTGCCTCCTGGATACATGCCTGGCATTCCTGAGTCCCAGGGCTGATGACGGATCCTTCTTGCTGCATCTTAACGGTATCAGTGTGCTGCTTTACTGCCAGTTGGAGGTCAGCTGAGTTGATTTGCTCTTTTGGGTGTTAGGACTATTTTTTTTAATATGTTTTTTTTTTTTAATATTTTCACAGAGGGGGAGAGGGATAGAGAGTTAGAAATATCGATGAGAGAGAAACATCGATCAGCTGCCTCCTGCTCACCCCCTACTGGGGATGTGCCCACAAACAAGGTTCATGCCCTTGACCAGAATCGAACCTGGGACCCTTCAGTCTGCAGGCTGACGCTCTATCCACTGAGCCAAACCGGTTATGGCTATTTTATTTTTTTAATCATTGCATATTCTAATATTCTCACAATAAAAATATATTGCTTTTGTATTAAAAATTTAAATATACCAAAAAAAATGTCAGCTAAAAAAATTTATTTTCAGCTCTCCAAGCGAAATAAGTGAAAGTTGCTTTAGTGGTCACAAAGGAACCTTTAGACTCTGTACCCACTGGCTGTTAGGCACAGGTCATTAATCTAGGACAGGCGGCAAATCAACAGGATCTTCAAATTCCACTTTCCTTAGGAATACTTTTCTCGCTATATTTGACTATGTCCTTTCTAATCAGATGTTTTATTAACTTGTGTATCAAAACTAATAGTTATGTCATGAAGAGCTGCCTTATCTTAGGCATGTCTCGTCTTCCTCCCTCTTTTCTAATTCGAGGAACATGTCACATTGGATTGCTGCAAAGAGCCAACCTCAGTGGAACTCTCTCCTTTCTGTACCCACCCAAACTAAACATGCTTAATTTTCATCTTTAACATAACATGTATTGGCTATGTATTTATTTAAAATGTTCTTGTTGATTGGTGAAAAAGGGAGAGGGAGGAAGGGATAGAAACATCAGTGATGAAAACCATTGATCAGCTGCCTCCTGCATGCCCCCTACTGGGGATTGAGCCCAAAACCCAGGCACATGCCCTGATCGGGAATAGAACTGTGACTGCAACCACTGAGCCACACTGGTTGGGCATGTATTGGCTTTTTAAAAGGCCTATCCCTGTGGTCGGCAAACTGCGGCTCGCGAGCCACATGCGGCTCTTTGGCCCCTTGAGTGTGGCTCTTCCTAAGCCTTAGGAGTACCCTAATTAAGTTAATAACAAGGTACCTACCTATATAGTTTAAGTTTAAAAAATTTGGCTCTCAAAAGAAATTTCAATCGTTGTACTGTTGATATTTGGCTCTGTTGACTAATGAGTTTGCTGACCACTGGCCTATCCCATACTGCATTGTAAGGATGTATGAAGTGCCTTTTAACATCGATATGAAAGCAACTGTGGCTGCAGATACTGATTTCTGAAAATACTGAGTACTGACTCTAGCTATATTTGAATCACAAAAAGAAATCTGAATCTGGTAGGACTGCCAGACACAAACTCTGAAATTCTACTAGTATTGTTACTAGGGAGGTAACGTAGCTTACTTGATGGCTAGCTCTCTCCCAATCTTAGTTCTGGAAAAAGTTAGCTTGGGTTTACATGATCCTCTACTGTTCTTTTAAGAATGAAGATGGCTGTTTGATCTTGTTGAAGTCTTCCAGTGCTGAGAGATTCATTCTTTCTCACTTAATGGATGAGGTTGAAGTGCAGACAGCTCTAGCCTGTGACTGCATATAAAAACCAATGATGAAATGAGGCAGTGATTCCTAAGCCTTTGCTGGCTACCCGGGGACAGTTTATTATTCTGATGTTTAAAAGAGGCCATCCAAATCCAGTTTCTTGAAAGAAACATTTATTTATAACCTCTATGGGTCAAACTGCTTCAAACAAATCCAGAACAGGTTTTCACATTTTGAGCCTTTAGTGTAGACAGTATGCCATGCGTAAAAGAAACACTTATCCAGTACAGCTTTCCCCTGACCACTTGAATAGTAGTGGAACAACCAGGTAGCAGACTGATGTGACAGAAATCTTCTTGAAAAAGGGCATGATTTAAAGCTCATATTAAGGTTTTTCACAACATAAATGTGTTTAAACAACATCTAATATCAACTTCTTAATTTTAAAACAAAACACCCAAGAATGAACTATCCCTTTAAATTAAAAATAATAATAATCAATTTATACTCTTCTTAAAAGAACTCCAACAATGTAAAATAAGTTCCAATTCCAGATATATATATATATGTATGTACATTTATAACTTAGGTGCTCTTTTGCGCTATATGCTTTCATTCATGCAACACTGACAGAGGACTGGGCGCGAGGCTCTACAGGGGCCTCTCTGAGAAAGCAGTGTAGCTCCTCACTCGGCCAAAGAACAAGGGGGTATACATCTTGTCAATCTCAAAAGCAGTGACTGCAGTCTCACCAGTTGACCTAGAAAGAATGCACAAAATTACAAGTTACCAGGAAATTTCAATTCATTTAAAATCCTTGCATATTTCTAGAGGGGAGTTATTTTATATTTTAGCCTTAAGATTTTTTAAATATAGCTCAATAAATTTTAAATATAGGCTCATTGTTGAAAATTTTTAAAATTTAGAAAAGTACCAAAAAGAAGTCCCTCATAATTCTATCACTCAGATACAGCAATACAAAACACTTTTTTCCAGTGTTTCTTCTACACACATCAACCTATCAAGTTTTCCTATTGAGATCACACTCTATTAGTGATCATGCTTTTTTCATTTAACATCATGACATGCATTTCCCAACATCATTAAATACTCTTCAGAAGTCATTTTTAGTGGCTGCATAATATTTCTCTGTCTGCTTGTACCACAATTTACTTAATAATTCCCCTTTTGTTAGAGATATAGGTTGTTTTCAGTACTGGGCAATTAAAAATGTGTTATTTTTTATTATGTCCTTTGGACATGTTCTAAAGAGTAGAATTTCTAAGTCAAAAGCAATAGACATTTTAAGGCTATTGTTAAAATGTAATTTAGAATGAATTATAATCCTAGAATAGAAATTTTTTTTTAATATATTTTATTGAATTTTTACAGAGAGGAAGGGAGAAGGATAGAGAGTTAGAAACATCGATGAAAGAGAAACATCGATCAGCTGCCTCCTGCACGCCTCCTACTGGGGATGTGCCCGCAACCAAGGTACATGCCCTTGACCGGAATCGAACCTGGGACCTTTCAGTCCACAGGCTGATGCTCTACCCACTGAGCCAAACCGGTGAGGGCTCAGTTGCCTTTCAAAAAGTTCTAGAATAGAATTTAATATTTGTATGAGCAACAACATAATTACAGATGGGAGGGAAGGAAAGCAAATGACAAGTTACACTACTACTAGTCTTTTATATTTTTCTCCTCAAAAGGAGAAATAAGCAAAAGCAGAAAGTTCAAGTGCCTTTTTAAATATTACTAGAGGCCCGATGCACGAAATCCATGCAAGAGTAGGACCTCCTTCCTCCAACTGCTGGCACCGGCTTCCCTCTGGCCGCCGGCAGGCACCCAGGACCCAGGCTTCCCTCCCAGCCCCGGCTTTGTCAGGAAGGACATCTGGTCTAATTAGCATCTTACTCTTTTATTAGTATAGATAAGGAAGTCAACGTGAACCTTAGCAGCTACAAACAATGCCTCTTATAATATCTTTCTTTCTCCTTCCTAAAACATGATGCTTTTCATTTCTTTGATTCTACTTCTGGGTTTGGTTTCTTTCTTTGGAAAGAAAAAAATTCCACAGATTACTGAGAGAAACAAAAAAGAGATAAGTGAGAAAAAAGAAAACTTCTGGGACCTTCAAAAATGAGAAATGTGCCCAAAAAGTTTTCAATAAGATGGTCAAGGTTGTGAAGTAGGTTAATTGAAGGTGATCTCAAAACGTGTTCTCTCAGAACTTTGGATTCAACTGGAATGGAAAGCCTTCAGTCACACACCAATATTCTTTCAATTCCAACAGCATCTAACTTCAATAGCCACATGAACTGATATTTTATTAATTCCTTTTTAAAATGTCTGTACTGTTCCTTTCTCATACATACTCTCTGCTCATTAATGATTTCTTACAGGTAAATCCTAACTCAAGGGTCCAAGATGGCAGTATAGGAGGATGCTTGACCTTGCCTCCTCCCAAGAACATATCAACTGAATACTTTTAATTAACAATTCTCCTGAAAGACAACTGAGGGGCAACTGAACAGCTTCTGCACAACAAACAAGAGAGAGAGACGGCAGAGAGAAAGTTGGGGAACCAACTCTGGGAACTGAGGAAACCATCAGGCCTGGAACAAGGGGTGACTGCCATAGTGTGGGTATAGGGGGCCTCTTTGCAGGCCAGAAGGGAGTGGCATGACATATTCAAGGTATGAAAATCAAGGACCTACAACCAAGATTACTCTACCCACTAAGGCTGTCATTTAGAATCAAAGGAGATATAAATAGCTTCCTAGACAAGAAAAAGCTAAAGGAGTTCATCACCACCAAACCAGCATAACAAATGTTAAAAGGACTTCTTTAAGAAAAACAAATATGAATAATAAAATGGCAATAACTACATAACTATAACTATCAATAATTACTTTAAATGTAAATGGATTAAACATTCCACTCAAAAGACATAGGGTGACTGAATGGATAAGAAAACAATGCTGTCTATAAGAGACCTACACAGACTGAAAGTACAGGACAGAAAAATATTTCACACAAATGGAAACAATAACAAAAAGCTGAAGTAGCAATAGTTATATCAGACAAAACAGACTTTAAAACAAAGGCTGTAACAAGAGACAAAGACTCAGCAATTCTACTTTTGAGTGTTTTACCTGAAGAGAAACATTAATTCAAAGAGAAATATCTACCCCTATGTTCACTACAGCATTATTTACAACTGCCAAGATTTGGAAGCAACCTAAGTGTCCATAGATAGACAAATGTATAAAGATATGGCATATATATATGCATATACACACACACACATACATATATATATATGTGTGTGTGTGTGTGTGTATATATATATATATAATGGAATATTACTCAGCCATAAAAAAGATATCTTACCTGCGTTGGGCAGCTGCCCCCTAGTGGTCAGTGCACTCCCACAGGCAACCTCCCGCGGTCCCTCCCCAAAACCAGCCAGCCCCAATTGGGACTGGGCAAGATGGCCCCAATGGGCACTGACTGGCCACTAGGCCAAGGGACCCCACCCGTGCATGAATTAGTGTACCGGCTTCTAGTATAAAATAAAATGTAAAAAATAAAAATCCTAACTCAGTGGTTGGCAAACTGCGGCTCACGAGCCACATGCAGCTCTTTGGTCCCTTGAGTGTGGCTCTTCCACAAAATACCACCTGCGGGCGCACGTACAGTGTGATTGAAACTTCATGGCCCATGCGCAGAAGTCGGTTTTCGGCCTGGACGAGTCTATTTTGAAGAAGTGGGGGTACGTTCGCTGAGGACCCCTCAGATTGAGGATGTTTTTAGCAAAGGCCAGCTCAGGAGTACCCTAATTAGGTTAATAACAATGTACCTACCTATATAGTTTAAGTTTAAAAAATTTGGCTCTCAAAAGAAATTTCAGTCGTTGTACTGTTGATATTTGGCTCTGTTGATTAATGAGTTTGCCGACCACTGTCCTAACTCATAGAACAAAGAACTTTATATATAAGAACTAATAGATTTGGCTTTGGAATACAAGAGATCTTTTTAGCAGACTTATTTAAATTAGTGTATAATCCCTGAGGATAAACCAAATGGAAATAAAGTAAAAAATGGTAAGACAAACATGGGAGAAGAAAAAAATCTGATGTTGTAAAACTGCCCTGAATAAGTCGACACATGAAGAGCTTAAAATGACTATCGTTTTACTCATGGAATGCCACTCTCATTTCCAAAGCAGTGGTGCCCAGCCACGTTCCACTGGCACTGTGAGCTACGGGCTCCACTGCCTGGCCCACTTTCAGTTCCAGTTTTTTTCTTTTTGGCCACTTTCTGGGTTTGCAGAATAATATTATCCTCTGCTTCCACAATATTAACTCAGGTTAACATCATGTGTGAGTTTCCTAAGCCTGACATGAAGTACACATTTATTCCGTAACCTTGGTATTTTTATTACATTCACCTACTTGTATGTAACGTGACAAGAATGATGTATCCAGATGAGTTTGTTGAACCTCTGGTGGCCAGTGGAACACAGCTGTAGTCCTACATGAAAACTCTGATCTGCTTCTTGGACAGGGACACGGCGAAAATATCTGTATTTATAGTCAAGTGGTTTCTGTAAAAGAAAAGATGCATGAACTGTAATGAAACCTCACTTCACTGAGATTTCATTATTGGAATATACTGGGTGGGGCAAAAGTAGGCTTACAGTTGTGAGTATGTGAAACACAGAGTTTATTCTTGCATTATTATTTATTCTTGTATTTATATTTCTCCATATGAACTGTAAACCTACTTTTGCCCACCCCTGTATTATGCAAGAATAACATAACATTTGCACATAGTAGAGTTGTTTTGGATATCACATACAAATGTGTGAGTGTCTTGAATAACAAGTTTTTCCCCCCTAATCATCATAATAACCTCATGTACTAAATATGATTGCATTATTGCTATTTAATAGCTAAAAGAATGAAGACCCAGGCAGCTTAAACGAGTTAACACAGCAGTTTCAGATTGGAATTAAGACTTCTACCTCCTATCTCAAAGGCTAGTATTTCCTTCTACTTAAAAACACTTGGGAATTTTTAAAGAGAGAAAATAAGTTGGTGAAGTCTGCAGAAAAAGCATCCTTTTTTTGCAATAATGGTAAAATCGTCAATGGATAAATAAATGTGACAAGCTTCATTAGAATCACACTTCTGCAAATACTGTTGCTAAAAACACAAAAGTATCAACACTACATATGGTTTCATTGTTATCATATTCTGAAGAGAAAACGGGCATTCTACATGGGAGTTCCTAAATTCTTACTAGATAAAACCTAAACAACTAGGATCTCACAAATTCCCCATTTCTGACCTCAGGAAACTCATGGCCAAGGTCACTCACAGCAACTCTGTCCCACAGAAGCTGCCCGATTTCAGGAGCCTACCAGAGCCGGTGGGGAGGAGCCAGCAACAGTTGGCCACAGGGTGATAGGACTAGAACTCACAGAGAACCCTACCCTGTCTCGACACATAATGCTAGAGAAGAAAGGGGGATTCAATACAAGGGAAACTTCTTTCAAATCCTACACCAACTTATAAAAGCAATAGGCTAGTAATTATTATAACTTCCTCACAACTGACTTCATTATGGTTTTTAACCAGGATAAAAAAAATTGCACATGAAGAAAGGTTGTAAAAAATGAAAATGAGGTCCTTGATCTGTTAAGAGTCTAAAGCCCTCTAGAATGTAATAATCCAGCAATCATATTTGCTTGGCATTTTCATTCTTTTGCAAGAATGGGACGAAGGAATTATCTTACATTAGCTTATTTCCCAATAGAAACTGAAATTCTCTATATGAATACCCTTGTGAAAGAATTACTCATTTGCGCTAACTTAGGAAGAAAATCCCCTATGATTCAAAATGAGAAAAGCTAAAAAAATCATATTCTGGTATCATTTTACTAGTTACTTTACAGGACATTTTGGCTTTCCATTTTCACATGTGAAAAACCTAGACCAGCTGGAACCGGTTTGGCTCAGTGGATAGAGCGTCGGCCTGCAGACTGAAGGGTCCCAGGTTCGATTCCGGTCAAGAGCATGTACCTGGGTTGCAGGCACATCCCCGGTGGGAGGTGTGCAGGAGGCAGCTGATCGATGTTTCTCTCTCATTGATGTTTCTAACTCTCTATCTCTCTCCCTTCCTCTCTGTAAAAAATCAATAAAATATATTAAAAAAAAAAAAAAAAAAGAAAAACCTAGACCAGAAAAAAACCATTTGAAGAAAAACAAACAAGCTGATCGAATTAAAAATAACCACATTTTAGAAAACATTCCAGCTCTCTTTAGAGCAGCGGTTCTCAATCTGTGGGTCGTGACCCCTTTGGGGGTCGAACGACCCTCTCACAGGGGTCGCCTAAGACCATCGGAAAACACACATATAATTACATAGTTTTTGTGATTAATCACTATGCTTTAATTATGTTCAATTTTTAACAATGAAATTGGGGGTCACCACAACATGAGGAACTGTATTAAAGGGTTGTGGCATTAGAAAGGTTGAAAACCACTGCTTTAGAGAAATGCTCTAAGTCAACATACATTTTGTATAATAGTATAAATAATGAAACAGTATATTTGACCCTTTCTAATCAAGAATCCTTGAATGAAAAGGTACTCAAAAGTAGCCCTAGCCGGTTTGGCTCAGCGGACAGAGCATCAACCTGCGTACTGAGAGGCCCCAGGTTTGATTCTGGCCAAGGGCACGTACCTCGGTTACAGGCTCCTCCCTGGCCCGGACCCCTTCCTAGCCCTGGCACTGGTTGGGGTGTGTGCAGGAGGCAACCAATCGATGTGTTTCTCTCACATCAATACTTCTCTCTGTCTTTCCCTCTCTCTCCCACTCTCTCTAAAAATCAATGGAAAAATATCCTCAGGTGAGGATTAAAAAAAAAAAAAAAAAGTAAACTGCTACTTCAACCTTGTATACTCACTTCTTCTTTTTTCTTAGTTATCACAGCATATACTTTGGTCTGATTGTCTGTATCCTGTGACAAGCGATAATGGCCCAGTAGAACTGCATCAGTTCTAAAAATAAAAAAATACTTTAAATCTAAGTCTATTAATCAGTTATTACATGTATTTAAGTAATCTAGGAAGTAATGGATTATAAGGTGTTTAAGCAACTTGCTTGAGAAGAATCAGCTAGGATGTGAGCGAACGTAGTTTTCAAGGCCCCAGACACCCACTGAAGTACACTCTCCAGGGGAAAGGTACAGAATTGATCTTTTCCACAAATGCCCACCCAATGACTGTTTGTTAAATCATCCAGTAGTAAGTTAAGGAAACACAGGATTACATTCACCTATACATTCATATAAAATGTGACTTGGATAGAAAACAAGTGTTACAGGAAAACACTACCTGGTATTCCGAGTTCTTAAACGAGGAACAATGGACTGAGGCTCCTCGGGGGTTGTCAACATCATCACATGGCCATCAGGAAAGAATCTTATGTACCTGTGTAACAGAAACAGAACACCAAAAAACACCACACACAAAGTATAAAACTCGTCCTTCTCTACTGGTACCTCAACCTAGCCATAGCTGTGAAACCGAGACGGAACTACCACGGGCCAAAGGACTGGCAAAACATCATTAAAACATGACTGACAACCTGTGAGGCCAGCGACAAAGAACAAAAGGCATTTTATTATCTTCCTTCTAGGGAACTGTTGAACTTTTAGTTTCCCTCACTGAATACAAAAATTAGATTAAATAATACTCTATTAAAGATCTGTATGTTTTTTCCTAAAACACTAAGGTCTAACAGAAATGGAATCTCACAATACACAGTAGTTCACATATCTACTTATTTCTCACAGTATTAGCTGATGAACAAAAAGGCTGAATAAGAGCACAAGCTATTGGAAACGGCAAATGAGTACACCAAGGTCAAGAGATAAGAACTCTAACATGTAAAATGATTCTTAGATTTAGAGGCTAGGAGGTTTTAAATTTGTAGTACCCCATTGGTTCTTTTGAGTACAATTCTTAATAAAATAGTTGATAAAAATACTGAGGGCTGTCTTGTGGATAAATGCAAAAGCTACCGAGAAGAGATGTCCAATAACTAATGAATGAATACTCGGAGAGAGAGAATTTTTCACTCACTCAGTTTACTACAGTTGTACCTGTAATATTCCACTTGGTGCCAGGCTCTATAGAAACCATCAAGAGACTGTTCCCCTTGACGAATATATGTGGTTTTACTGATATATACGCCTATAAAAAAGAAACATTATTTTAAAGAACTAGGAACATAATAAATTTAAACATTTTAAAAATAAAATCATATAGCACATTTCCAGCTTCATTTTTATTGTCGTTTCCTTTAAATATGCTCATAATACTTAGGTCTGTTAGAGAAAACTAAGACTGGGTATTTATCAAAGTCAACGTGACAAATCTCTATTTCTCTTGAGTTCCAAAGGGTTCAACTTACCATCAAACCGAACACGGGGCCTTTCTAGAAACATCTCTCTCCAGGATGTGTATGGAACAAGTTTAATACAGCTTCTGCCCCAAACTTTCAAGCAGGCCAAACGCCATATTTCAGGGTCTCTAAGTAATAAAAGTACAACATCAATATATGTAAAAGGCTAAGTCCCTATATGCAGAAATGGTCCTGCTACCAGCCATTTTCTATTCAGCAAGTATTTGCTGAGTGCCTGCTAGGCATAGTCCTGGGTCTGGATATAGATTGGTGGAAAAAGGCCCTGCTCTTTTACTGTTGGGAAAGCAAGAAAACAAAGTTTCAAGTAATGTGCTCAGTGCAAAAACAAAGCAAGCAGGGTGAATAGACAAAGAAGTCATGGTGGGAAAATAAAGACTATTTTAGATACAGTGGCTGAGAGAGGCCTCTCTGGGAGGTGATGAAGAATACCCTGGGCAGAAACTGTAGCAAGTGTAAGACCCTCAGGTAAGTGTGTAGCTGGTATGCTCTAACAAGGAGCAAAAAAGGCTACATGGTTGCAGCAAAGTGAGCACCGTGAAGTATAGACTACATAATTTCAGGGGTAGTCAGGGGCAGGTGAGGTCCTAGTTTACAGGTGGGAGTGTCTATTAAGTAAGATAGAGGTTATCTACCCACTTTCACCACTCCTGTTCGACACAGTTCTGGAAGTGCTAGCCATTGCAATTAGATAAGAAGAAATAAAAGGCATCCAAATTGGAAAAGAAAACGTAAAACTGTCCTTATTCACAGATGACATGATACTATACATAGAAAACCCTAAAGACACCATCAAAAAATTATTAGACTTAATAAATGAATTTGGCAATGTAGCAGGACACAAAATTAACGCCAAGAAATATATGGCATTTTTATACACCAAATAAGAGCCCAGCGCACAATTCGAAATTGCGCGGCGCTGCCCACCCTCCGGTCCGGCCCTGCCTCCCTCTCTGGCCCTTGAAGCAGCTGCGGCAGCTACTGATCAGGCCCTCCCCCAGCACAGGCGCGCGGAGGCCCCTGCCAACCTGCCCCCAACGCTGCCGCACAACCTCCTATCCAGTCGACCCATTAAGGCGTCCTGGTTAATTAGCATATTTCTCTATTTTTTTAAATATATATTTAGATAGATAGATAGATAGATAGATAGATAGATAGATAGACAGATATAGATATAGAGAACTTACAGAAAGATTTTTAAAAATCCCATTTACCATGGCACCAAAAAAATTAAGATACCTAGGAATAAACTTAACTAAGGAGGTAAAAGTCCTGTACTCGGAAAATTACAGGACACTGAAAAAAGAGATAGAGGAAGACAAACAGATGGAAGAACATTCCGTGTTCATGGAATGTTAGAATCAACATCATTAAAATGTCCATACTACCTAAAGCAATCTAGATTCAATGCACTCCCCATTAAGATACCAACAGCATATTTCACAGACCTAAAACGAACTCTCCAAAAATTTATCTGGAATAAAAAAAGACCCTGAATAGCTGCAGCTATCCTGAGAAAGAAGAACAAAGTAGGAGGGATCTCAATACCAGATATTAAGCTGTATTACAAAGCCACTGTTCTCAAAACTGCCTGGTACTGGCACAAGAACAGACCAATGGAACAGAAGAGAGAACCCAGAAATCGCTCAATTAGTAAACCATAAAAATCTTAGGGGGATCCACAGGCAGCAAAATCTCAGACATATGCCGAAGCAATATCTTCATTGATACAGCTCCTAGGGCAATGGAAAACAAAGAGAAAATAAACAACCGGGACTACATCAAAATAAAAAGCTTCTGCACAGCAAAAGAAACCATAAGCAAAACAACAAGAAAGCCCACGACATGGGAGAACGTATTTGCCAATGTTATCACCAATAAGGGTTTAATCTCCAACATTTACAGGGAACTCATACAACTTAACAAAAGGAAGATAAACAACCCAATCAAAAAATGGGCAACAGATATAAGTAGATACTTTTTGAAAGAGGACATAAGGAAGGCCAAGAGACATATGAAAACATGCTCAAAGTCACTAATCATCCAAGAGATGCAAATCAAAACAACAATGAGGTACCATCTCACACCTGTCAGAATGGCTATCATCAACAAATCAACAAACAACAAGTGCTGATCAGGATGTGGAGAAAAAGGAACCCTCGTGCACTGCTGGTGGGAATGCAGACTGTTGCAGCCACTGTGGAGAACAGTATGGAGTTTCCTCAAAAAACTAAAAATGGAACTCCCATTTGATCCAGTGATCCCACTTCTAGAAATATATCCTAAGAAACTAGAAACACCAACCAGAAAGGATATATGCACCCCTATGTTCATAGCAGCACAATTTACCATAGCTAAGATTTGGAAACAACCTAAGTGCCTATCAGCAGATGAGTGGATTAGAAAACAGTGGTACATCTACACAATGGAATACTACACTTCGATAAAAAAGAAGGCATTCTTACCATTTGCAACAGCATGGATGAAACTGGAGAACATTATGCTAAGGGAAATAAGCCAGTCAGAGAAAGATAAATATCACATGATCTCACTCATTTGTGTAATATAATGAACAACATAAACTGATGAACAAAAACAGACCCAGAGACAGAGAAGCATCAATCAGACTGCCAAATCTCAGAGGGAAGGTAGGGGAGGGTGGGGGTAAGGAGGAGAGATCAACCGAAGGACTTGTATGCATGCATATAAGCCTAACCAATGGACACAGACACCAGGGTGGTGAGGGCAAGAGTGGGGGGTGGAGGGTGAGGGGGCAATGGGGGGATAAGGACACATATGTAATACCTAATCAATAAAGAAAAAAAAATGATAAAGGTCATTGCAGGGTTTTGAGCATGACTTCTGCTTTTAAAAGATGACTCTGGGAGAGGTCCAAAATGGTGGTGGCATTAGAGAATGCTGAACCCACCCCCTCTGATAAGCAAACTCAAATAAACACATATATAGTGAGCAATTACTCCTGCATGACAACTGAGGGCTGAGTGAACAGCTTCTGAACATGAGCAAAGAAAGGCGAACAAAGAAGACTGGGAAACCACAGGAGCCCTCTGGGAGCTGAGGGAACGCCTCTGAGCTGGAGGAGCTGGTGGGCGCCATTGCTTACGTCCCCCTCCACTTCAACAGGGGCTTTACTTGGGTGCTTGGGCTCACCTGCAAGATCACCACAGTGAGTTCCCAGCTACATTGCCCAGGGCCTTTTGCCTCCAAATAAAAGAAGCCAACAGGGATATCAGCATCACATGCACCTTCTGGCCTCTCTGCAGGGAGCCCTCCAAACTCTCAAGCCAACACTGCCAGTGCTGCATGCACCTGACCCACTCCAACCAGCTTCTTAAAACTACCTGGCAATAAAGCCTCACCGGTATCATTCTACACCAAACAACATGAGAGACTGTACAGAGAAGGCTGGGGGGCCACAGGACCTCCCTGGGTGGGAGGTGCCAGTAAGCGACATTGTTTATGTCCCCCTTCCATAGGGAGGGCGGGGGGCTCTCTCCAGGTGCTCTGGCCTATCTGCAAGGTCACTGCAGCACGTTCCCAGACACCTCACCCAAGCCCATTTTGCCCCTGAATGAGGGAGCAAGCAGGATCAACAGGGCATTACTACCTGCATTTGACCTCCCCACCCAGAGCATCTCCAACTTGGTAGACCAGTGCCGTGAAAACCTTAGCACCTACTCAGCACCCTAGTAGCCTGCCAAAACCACCCGGCACACAGATCCTATACAGAGGCCATTTCTACATAAAGCCACTTTTCCGAGACTGGAAGAAATAGCTATTATGTCTAATTCACATAAGCAAACATCGAAAGTCAAAATGACAAACGGAATCTCTCTCAAATAAAGGAAAAAGAAAATTCTCCAGAAAAAAAAGCTCTAAGGAAATGAAGACAAGTAATTTGCCTTATAAAGAATTTTTTTTAAATAGTCATAAGGATGCTCACCAAACTTGAGTGTGGAATAAAGGAACTCAGGGGGAACTTTGTTTTTTGTTTTTTTTTGTAATATATTTTATTGATTTTTTACAGAAAGGAAGGGGGAGGGATAGAGAGTTAGAAACATCGATGAGAGAGAAACATCATCGATCAGCTACCTCCTGCACACGCCCTATTGGGTATGTGCCTGCAGCCAAGGTACATGCCCTTGACCAGAGTCGAACCTGGACACTCTATCCACTGAGCCAAACCGGTTAGGGCTCAGGGGGAACTTTTATAAAGAGAAGGTATAATAAACAGGCAGACCTGAAGAATACAAATGGCATAAAAAAAACCATGAAGGAATCAACAGCAGATTACATGATACAGAAGAAAAGATCAATGACCTGGAAGACAGAATAGTGTAAATCTATAAATCAGAACAGCAAGAATAAAAAATTATAAAACACAAGGATAGTAAGGCACCTCTGGGATAATTTCAAGTGCTCAAACACTCCTATTATAAGGATCCTAGAAGAAGAAAAAGAGGGAAGGATCAGAAATCTTATTTATAGAAATAATGGCTGAAAACTCTCCTAACCTGGGAAAGAAAACAGACATCCAGGTCAAGGAAGCACATAGTGTTCCAAACAAGATGACCCAAATAGACTCACATCAAGTCATATTGTTATTAAATGGTAAAAGTTAAAGATAATGAGACAATCTTAAAGGAAGCAGGAGAAAAATGAGTTACATACAAAGGAAACCCCATAGGGCTATCAGCTGATTTTTCAGCAGCAACTTTACAGGTTGGAAGGGAGTGGAAGGACATCTTTAAAATGCTGCAAGAAAGGAACTGATAGTCTAGATCAAGTTACCCAGCAAAGCTATCATTCAGATTTAAAGGAGAGGTAAAGGTTTCCCAGACAAACAAAAACTAAAGGAATTCATCATCATTAAACCAGTTTTACAATAAATTTTGAAGGGTCTTCTTTAAGCAGAAAAGGCCATAAGCAGAAATAAAAAAGTATGAGAAAAAAAATCTACCAGGTAAAGCCAAATATTTAATAAATATAGCCAATCTAACATTTAGAAAGCTACTATGAAGGTCAAAAGAAAAAAGTAATGGTGGCTGAACCAGAATGTACTTCGGAGAAATAGTAAAATGGTCAGACTGGAGATGTATTTTACAAGAAGTGCCAATGAGTTTTTGTTATGGGATTAGTGCAAAAAGTGATGTTAAAAGATGTATTGAATAGTCAGTCACATGATTCTTACACAACTCAAAAAATATTTAACTTCATTTATAACTTAAAATATTCAGTATTAAAGGTGTAAAACTAATTATACTGGAACCAGATTAAAAAAAGAGACCACCTCCAAATTTATGTTGCAATGCATATTTTTAAAAAATGATTACTTTTCTTTTATAGCATATGAGGTTTAATCCCTGAAAATTTGTTTTCTTAATAAACTCCCTCTCTATGTTTTCTCATGTATAATCAAAAGAAAAGTTTATGTAGGAACAGTGCTAGAGACCCAAATTTCAAAAGGTTGGTGGTAATCCACTAGATATTTAATAGGTACTTCTTAAATAGAATAGTACACAGAATCACCAAAAACCAAAGACTTCAAGCAATTCAAATATTTTACCGAAAATACAAGACTCCAAATGAAATTGGGTTATTTAAAAATAATGCATCTAAAATTTAAGAACTAAAGTTACAAAATAGTTCTAAATGCTAAGGACTAAGTATGTATTTTTACATAAGATGCCCATGAAAGACTGCCAGTCCCAAATGATGTTATACTATGATTACTCTTCACACAGCATGATTTCAAAAGGATAGGGTAATTTTTAATGGGCTAAAAGAAAATTCTAGGGCAATCAAAATTTAAATCATTACCACTTAATGGGTTTAGAGTTACTGTGAAAATGGCTTGAGTATTTTTTTTTTTTTGCATGATTTCTTTGCTATATCAACTAAGCTAGCATGCAAACTACTCTATGTGTGACTGTATCTGTTCCACATATTATTCTACACCATGGAAACCCCGTGCATTCCAGTCTTTAAATGCTAAGTAGTTTGAGAAAATCACATACGTATAGCTTAGCAAAATTGTTGTAGAATAGCTTTTATCCAGAACATCAATCAAGTTCTTTTATTAAAATTGGCAAGTGACCATAATCCCTTCTTTTACCACTGCCTGAGCTGTTTAAAAAAAGTAAGTACCTGGCACAGATATAGAATCCTCTGCACACCTGTGACAACTGCTCTAAGGATCTGAGATCCAAATCACTAGACACCACCCATCGGAAGATGTACATGAGGACCTCCATCGGCAGCACTGCAAAAGAAAAGCACCCTTTCAGTGACTCTCCTGACCGCCTACTGTCTCATTCTCAGGGCAGAAACCTTTATGTATTCCTACAAATTTATGAATCACACCTTCAGTATTGCTCCGACATAAAGCATGAGTGTATTTAACTACCCCAAAGTAATAATGGTTACTAACATGAAGACACAAATATCTTTGTGTGTGTGTGTGTTTTTCGGTACAGAGCAGATCTGAAGCTACTTTTATAAAGCACCCCTATCCCTTGGAAGATCTTTTGCCACCAAGATATATTAAAATAAGTGTGCTAGGAAAATAATATACTATATATATATATGTGTGTGTAATTGCATTCAACAGTAAAAGTTATTTTTGAAAATTTCTAATTGTCCCCCATGACAAATGAAACACTTAACATATGAAAAGAAAAAAAAAAGCCATTCATTTTTAAACATTCAGCTTATCTCAGGACTACTGTCCAACTTGGCTGAAACATCTGATGATACTAGTACTCCTCCAATTTTCTTAGGACAGCCCCCAACAACTCAGACACTCACGCTCTTAGATCTTCAGTGAAGAAAGTATGGCATCCTTGAACAACAGCACTACAAGTTCTGATCTACTTTGGACTCTGAAAAGCTTATTATTATACACAAACCGTAATTATAATGAGATCTCCAATCTTACTTTGAACTAGACCAGCTATCTGAACTTGGAAGTTTGGAAATCTAAAATCTAAGGTTAAAGTATTTCTCATGGACTGATAACAAGCGTAAATTCTCACCTGATATATGAGTCTGACTGCTCTCCAGTTCGGGCTGACACAGTTTGAGCACAGACTCCTGAAACGTGAGCTGCTGCTGGAAGTAGGACAACAGATCTGCCATCTTGCTATCATCATCGTTATCTTCAATGCTGCAAAAGGAGGGAGGTGAGTACACTAAGGGCCTCCGTCTACAAACATAAAGCTTAGTAACTGATTTTTCATAGTATTTTCAAATCTTCTTGATAAAAAGTCATCTAAAAGCCAACTTCTTACTGCTTTTTTCTTTGATGTGATAAAAGTGTGCCCTGCCTTGCAGAGTACCATAACAAAGCTTCAGCAAATTTAATTCCCACCCAGAAAGAATTAGAATTTTGGAAAACAAATGTTGAGATTTAATTTATTAGTTTCATTGTAGAGATTTTATGTGTTAATGAAAAAGATAATTTCACATGATTTTTAAAATCTCATGTAAACATATTCTTTTAAAAGTGACTGTAGCCGAGGCCGGTTTGGCTCAGTGGATAGATCTTCGGCCTGCGGACTGAAGGGTTCCGGGTTCGATTCCGGTTAAGGGCATGTACCTGGGTTGTGGGCACTTCCCCAGAGGGGGATGTGCAGGAGGCAGCTGATCGATGTTTCTCTCTCATCGATGTTTCTAACTCTCTATCTCTCTCCCTTCCTCTCTGTAAAAAATCAATAAAATATATTTTAAAAAAATAAAAATAAAAATAAAAGTGACTGTAATCCATCTAATTGGATAAAAGTCAAACAGATGTCATTTGAGGTACTTACCAAGGGTTTTCTAACAGATGTGCCTTATCACCCTACATTTAGAGGAAAATGTGAAACTTAAAAAATCTTAGCAGGGCCCCCAAATCATCTATCCATATAAACAAACATGTAGAATTCCATTTTTGCTGAAAGAACCTTAAAAATGATCAGATGTACCAAATGGCTTAGATGAGGATGAAATTACGACACCAGGAAGACCTTATTATAATACAACAAAGGATGAGTGTGGTTGAGTCTAAATGGATTCAAGAGCTACTCTATCAACATTTTGCAAAAGGCAAAAAAAAAAAAAAAAAGACTTTTATGGCTTATTATATATGATTAAAAAAACCACAAATGCATCTTTAAAGAACTTTCATAGCATCTAGGTTTGTAAAAAGGAACTGCACAGAAAAAGAATGATTCTTTAACCCTTTGAGTGCCAACCAATATCCTAGGAACTATGCTAAAATTGCCAAGGCATTTTTGCTGATTTTACAGCAGTTAAAGAAAAAAATTATGATTGCGCTCCCAGCACTTTTGGTGAAAGACAGGAGGAGCTCCCGGCACTCTAGGGGTTAACACAAACTTCCTGAACAACACTTGGAGCAGTGGTTCTCAACCTTCTGGCCCTTTAAATACAGTCCCTCATGTTGTGACCCAACCATAAAATTATTTTCGTTGCTACTTCATAACTGTCATGTTGCTACTGTTATGAATCGTAACGTACATATCTGATATGCAGGATGGTCTTAGGCGACCCCTGGGAAAGGGTCGTTCAACTGCCAAAGGGGTCGCGACCCACATGTTGAGAACCGCTGACTGGAGTCTATTTCTAAAACTGGCTAAGAACTGGGTGCAAATGATTCTACCCAAATTTTAAAGAGACTTAGCAAAAGCCCAAATGATTCCTTTTAAGTAGGAACTACCTTACACTATTAAATCTAATCTGCCAAACAATATTATTGGCCCAAATGTTCAAATAGGCAATTAATAATGACTTCATTGGGATGTTTTTAATGTGGCTTATCCAAAGTTTAAGTGCTAATACTATAAGCAGTTAACAAACACTGGTAATAAATACAAGTTATTGATAAAGGAAACTTATTATTTCATGGCAGAAGTAATATAATAGATAATATAATGTCTTATTACCCAAACTCTATTTTTCTAGGTGTTCATCTTTTTTAAAAAATATATTGTTATTGATTTCACAGAGGAAGGGAGGGATAGAAACATCAATGATGAATCATTGAGTGGCTGCCTCCTGCACGCCCCCTACTGGGGATCGAACTCACAACAGCAACCTCCTGATTGAAAGGTCAGTGCTCAACCGCTGAGCCACATCAGCCAGGCAGCGTTGTTCATTTTAAACCTGACATTCTCTCATGGATTCAGACTCCCTTCCCTTCTATTATCAGCAAATTGGGCTTCTGGGGATAAAGGGGTTGAGCCAAAATAATTTTACTAGTATAATTGTTCTGCAAATAGCTTCAAAAGTACTGACTTCAAAATATATTCTCTTGATCTGTATCAAATAAAACCATCATGACTGACTCAAGAGCTGGGTCTATCCAATGAAATATGGTTTATTTGGGGAGTGCTTATATCCTGCACCTGTGCTTTTAAACCAACGTTATACAGTTAATGATATTCCACCTACATACCTTAAGAAATAATAAACTAAGTCTTTTACAATTCAGCATTTTCCTAATAAAATGAAAAGCCCCCTTGTAAGTAAAAATGTATAATTTCAAACATAAACAAAAGGAGAAAGACTAGTGTAATGAAACCGTATTTCAACCATTATTAACACTTTTCAATTCTGGCCTAATTACATTTTAATAGTTTTGACTTTAAATAAGTTTCAAAAAGTTGAAATATGCCCTGTAATTTACTCCTTTCAATAATCACTGCTTTTATAAAACAATTCTTTCATCACCTTATTTCTGTTGTGTTTATTTAAAATGTGCATTTTGATATTTTAAAATTAAATTTCCCTAATTAAAAACTTCTGTAATTTTATCAACAAGTCTTTATACTAAACACTATATGACTTAAGAGAAAAGTACCATCTTCTTATCATGTTAAGAGTCAACAGGCCAAAGACGCTTAATTTTAACAAACTCTATGTATTACTGTCTATCAAATTATATACGCACTAGCTGCTTCCAACGCCATCACCATCTGGAGACCGGGTATAAGTAATCTTGAACTCTATATCAGGTACAAGTTGCATAGCCCTACGATAAAACTTGATGGCTAAAAGAAGAAATAAAGCTAAATTAGCTATGACCACACATTTTTGTCATTTCCTTTGATTACCCTTAACTGTGGTTTAGTTTGGCAACTTTCTTTACAAACAGTCAAATTCCCTTTATCTACATGCCACAGTAGTTCAGTGAACAAACTCATTTCTGGACCTTACTACTCAGAAACAAGCTTTCTAAATCTAACATGTTACAGAAACTTAAGGTGTTGCATTTTACTGGTCTTTTTAGCCCTTCCCATCTTTTCCCTCGGCCTCTTATGTATTGTCAGAAGGGAACTTATGCAGATGTCTTTCTTCAAACTTTGAAAATGCAATTGCTACAGCCCCAACAACAAAAATTTTAAGCAAATTTTTCTAAAACACAGAGCTAAGGAAAATCAAATGCTCCCTAGTGGGTGGAATAAAAAGATACGAGGTTTTTTTGGAATTTATTCTTCAAATCCAACTTTAGTCTAGCTAGCTGCTTCTTATTTAGCTAAATCACTTTTAAAACCTGTTTTTGTTTTTGTTTCAAATAAATCCCCTGGCCTGGGGTTTAGAGTTATAATATTTGATAATATCTTACATAGCGATATACCAATAGAACGTGGTGCTGTAGAGGCCAACTAGGTGAAGTCTGCTTAATTCAATACATTCTGCCATGTGTTTTTTACTCTGGGTGAATCACTGTACACTAAGTGGAGGTGGGAATTTTTCAAACTAATTAAGACTATGGAGAGACATTAATTGGATCCTTTTAATATCTTAATAATGCAATAATTCTGAAAATGTCATTTTAGGGGCATATTCAAGGGCTCCAAGCAAAATAATATTTCCTATGCCCCAATTATTAGCTTTACTATGACAAAATAAAAGCCCAAATACAAAAATAATATGGTAAATAGTCCCATCACTGTGTTTACTTATGTATTTCTATTAGCCATTAATAGAAACAAAGTTAAAGGGTATTCCTTCACAGATAACATAAATTAGAACTTAGAAAATATGTTCCTCAATGGATCCTTAATATTCCCCTCCCCTGAAGTAATTTCACTAAAAAAGAAGCATAATCTATTTTTAAATAAGTAGTAATATTTTAAAGACTTTAATAATGAAGATTAAAACCTAAATATTTTTAAAAAAGTCATTTTACTCATCCTATCAATATTATATTTCCCAGCAATATTTTTTTTGAAAAGAGTAAGGTTATATAGAAATAAAATTCTTATTTTTGATAGTTTAAGAACGAATTTCAAATATAGGGAGACTGATGTTCTATACCAAATATATTCTAGTAAAAAAATTTCTCAGTAACTAAGAGTCATTATTCAGAAATGTCATGACAGTATGACCCTACGTTTTTACCTTCATAGAGAGCTCCATTTTGTTCTTCTTCTACTGCTTTTAGGAAGAGTTCTCGAGCCTATAAAAATAAACGGTGGAAAATATTTTGAAAATCAGTATTAAAAATGAGTATGAATAGCAGAGAATAGTCCTCTCAACAAATGGTGCTAGAACAACTGGACATCCATAAGCAAAACAACAAACCTTGACCTAAACCTCACATCTTACATAAAAATTAAGTTGAACATGATCATGGGGTTAAATTAAAATTTTTTAACCTTTCAGGAAAAAAATGATAAAGAAAATCTTGGAGATCTAGCAGTAACCAAAATTCTTATACTTCACACCAAAAGCACAAGCCATAAAAGTTGATAAATTGGACCTCATCAAAGTTAAAAATGTGTTCTGCAAAATATTCTGTTAAAGATGGAAAGACAAATTATAAACTGAGAGAAAGCATTTAGAAAACAAAATGAACTCTCAAAACTCAACACTGAAAACATAAGCAATCTAATTAGAAAAGATAAACCAACATTTCACAGAGAGGATATACAAGCTGGAAATAGCACATGAAAACAGCACCATTAGACATTAGGGAAATACAAATTAAAATGACAATGATGTGACCCAGCCAGTGTGGCTCAGTGCTTGAGCATGGCCTCATGAACTAGGAGGTCATGGTTTGATTCTACTCCAGGCAGATGTCTGGACTCGATCCCCTGCAGAGGCATGCAAGAGCCAGCCACTCAGTGATTCTCTCTCATCATTACTGTTTCTGTCTCTCCCTCTCCCGTCCTCTCTGAAATAAAAGCATTTTAAAAAGTACAATGAAGTATTACTATACACCTATCAGAATGGCTAAAGTTAAAAAGTAATGACACACCAAATACTGACTAGGATGCAGCGACACTGGATCACTTGTACATGGCTGAGGGAACATAAAATGGTACAAACACTCTGTAAAACAGTTTGGCAGTTTATTTTTTTCTTTATATATATATATAATTTTAATTGATTTTAGAAAGAGAGGAAGGGAAAAGAAGAGAAACATCCATGGGAGAGAAACATCAATCAGCTGCCTCCCACATGCCCCCTACTGGGATCAAGTCCTGACCAGGAATCAAATCAGTGACCTCTAGGTTCACAGGATGAGGCTCAGCCACACCTATGGGACTATGGCAGTTTCTTTTAACCAAAGATGCACTTATCTAGAAATTGCACTCTTAGGCCAAAGAAATGAAAACTTATATTCATGCAAAACCTGCACATGGATAGTCACAGCAGCTCTGTACATAATAGCCAAACACTGGAAACAACCCAAATGTCCTTAAACTGGATAGTTAAAGAAATTGGGTATCCATAACATGCAATACTACTGAGCAAAAAAAAGGAACAAACTTTTTATACACACAACTTCAATGGATCTTAAAGGAATTATGCCAAGCTCAAAAGTGTATGGTTCCATTTATATAGTATTTTTTAATATTAAAATCATATGCTTCAAGTCAAGATGATGGTGTAAACATGGTACTTGCCATCTTCCACAACCACATAAAAATTACAACTAAAACAATCAGCATTCAGAATCACCTGAAATCTAGCTGAAAGGAAGTCCTACAACTAGGGAATTGAAGAAACAGTACATCAAGACTGGTAGGAGTGGAGATGTGGGGTGAATTGTGAACTGGTTGGTCCCACTCCCACATATGGTGGTTTAAAAACAGGAGGAATATCTTGGCTGTGGAGGTTTCCCTGAGGCGAGAGGGGTCCCAGCCCCACACCAGGCCCCCTCCCAGCCCAGGGTTCCAGTGCTGGAAAGAGAAGCCCCTGTAACTTCGAACTGTAAAAACCAGAAGGGATTGTGGCTGAATGACATGGAGGCTGCTGCCTCAGGCAGCTCCTCTTAAAGAACCCATGCTCAGACTCACTCCCTCTGAGCTCCAGCACTTGAGAAGCAGCTTGAAAGGAACCTGGGACATTCAGGAAGGAACTAACTTGTGTGGAATCAGGGCAAGAGCTGGAGAGGCAGCTTTCTCCCAGACAGAAGTGCTGGCAGAGGCCATTCCTCCTTTGCTGAGATCTCTCCACCACAGAGCGACAGGCCAGTGCCATATCTGAATCTCCATCAACCTGGCTCACACTTTTTGCCCTGCCCTAGTGATTCCTTGAAACCCCACCCCTCCATACTTGCAGGCTCAACCAAGCCATTTGCAGTGCCTTTTCCATACAACTGGCTTCATGCTTCAGACTTTCCTAAAATCTCTCAAACAAGCAGCAGCTGGCCTCAGCATGCCCCATACCTCTCAGTAAGTGGCCCCAGGCCTGGCACTAGTGGCAGTCCACCTTGGTTCATAGCTGGGCCTCTCTGGCACACCTTCAAGCCCAATACAAGTAGAAGCCATCTTTAGATTGCTTTGTAGTTCATGCTGGGTAGCCCCAGGCAGGGCACAGGGAGTGACTGACTTTTCATCTCCTAGGAGGTTCCAGAACCAGTTTTGACTACTCTGGATTACAACTCTACCACCTCCACAAGTGACACACTCAAGAGGCAGACTCGGTGAGCACCAAAGCCCCACTGAAACAAGTCCAGGGCTCCACAGGGTTAGCTCCTGCCTAGCAGCTCTTCTGCTGTAGTCACAGTCGATCCTCAAAACTGATTGGCTTGGGGATCAATCCCTCCCAGTGACACCTACATCAATCAATGTTCAACTACAATAGGACAGTGCACAGCTCACACAAGGGCATACCTGGAGCATCCAGCTCAGGTGACTGGGGAGGCTGAGCCACTGGGCCCTACAGGACATCTACATACACAAGGTCACTCTACCAAGTCCTGGAGACACAGCTAATCTACCTAATACATAGAAACAGACACAGGAAAGCAGCCAAAATGTGGAGACAAAGAAACATGCCACAAATGAAAGAACAGAGGAAATCTCCAGAAAAATAACTAAATAAAATAGAAGCAAGGAAACTACCAGATACAGAGTTCAAAACAATGGTTATAAAGATGCTCAAGAAACTTTAGTGAGAACTTCAAGGACCTTAGTGAGAACATCAACAACATAAAAAAGGGACCAGTCAGAAATGAAGGATACATTACTGAAATAAAGAATAATTTACAGGGATTCAACAGCAGAGTAGAGGATGCTGAGAATCAAATCAAGAATTTGGAATATAAGAAAGCAAAAAACACCCAATCAGAAGATCAGAAAGAAAAAAAGAATCCAAAAATATAGATAGTGTAAGGAGCCCCTTGGACAACTTCAAGTGTACCAATATTTGTATCATGGGGGTGCTGGAAGAAGAAAGGGAGCAAGAAATTGAAAACCTACTTGAAAAAATGACAAAAAAACTTCACTTACCTGGTGAAAGAAAGACATACAAGTCCAGGAAGCACAGAGAGACCCAAACAAGATGAACCCAAAGAGGCCCACACCAAGGCACATCATAATTAAAATGCCAAAGATTAAAGACAAAGAGAGAATCTTAAAAGCAGCAAGAGAAAAGCAGTTAGTTACCTACAAGGAGGCACCCATATGACTGTCAGTTGATTTCTCAATAGAAACTTCGCAGGCCAGAAGGGAGTAGCAAGAAATATTCAAAGTGATGAAAAGCAAGGACCTATAACCAAGATTACTCTACCCAGCAAAGCTATCATTGAGAATTAAAGGTCAGATAAAGAGCTTCACAGACAATAAAAAGCTATAGGAAACCAGTATTACATCACCACCAAACCAGTATTACATGAAATGTTAAGGGTCTTCTTTAAGAAGAAGAAAACGATAAAAAAATGAACAATGCAATGGCAATAAATACATATCTATCAACAATTCAATCTAAAAAATCAAAATAAATGAGCAAGCAGAACAGAAACAGACTCATAGATACCGACAACATTGTGACAGTTAGCAGATGGGAGGAAAGTTAGCGGGGTGGATGAAAAAGGATAAGGGATTTAGAAGTACAAATTGGTCATAGTCCATGGACACAGACAATAGACAGGTGAAGGCCCAGGATGGGGTGGGAGATGGATGGAGGGGGGCAAAGAGGGAAAATGGGGACATCGGTAATACTCTCAACAAAAAAATTTTTTAAAAAATATTAAAATTTCAGAAATGGAGAATAGGTCAGTTTTTGTCAGTAGTTAGGAATGGCTCGGGAGGAGGGAGAGACGAGAGTGTAACTGCAAAGGTATAGCAAGAGGGAGCCTTGTGGTGACAAGATGATTCTGTACCTTGATTGTGGTGGTAGTTACATGAAGCTTCACATTAATAAAATTGCACAGAACTATTTATTTACATACACACACAAAAGTGCTTCTAAATCTAGGAAATCTGAATAAGCCCCATGCATTGTACCAATGTATATTTCCTAGTATTATAGCTAGGTAAGACATCACCATCAAGGGAGAATGGGAAAGGAGTCCAGAAGACTTCCCTGTACCTGTGAATCTGTAATTATTTTAAAATTAAAACAAGGGTCCTAATATATGGTGACAGGAAAATATTTGACTCTGGGTGGTGGGCACATGGTGCAATATACAGATCTTGTAACATGGTAACCCACTCCTGAAACCTATATGGTCATGTTGACCAATATCACCGCAATCAATTTAATAAAAACATAAAAATTAAAACAAAATGAACATGGAAGTTTTTAGTTATCATGGTAATGTCAATTACTTAATGGCAAATTACTTGTAAATAAAAACTTGGATCTGATGGTATAAAGATGACAGCTTCTGTGGTACAGGAGAATAATGAAAAGTTAGATGGGGTGCTGTGCCCACTTCATGTGAATAAGTAATAGGAAAGAAGTAAACAATCAGACAGCATCCAAAATTTTTCCAGTGGGAGCACTTTGGAAATTTTCCAGAATAAGGAAGTGATTAATGCATCATTATAAATTTGTCCAATTCAAAATATAACAAAATATTGCATTAAGACCTTTGAAAAGGTGTTAACATTTGAATAATTTTTTGCCCTTCTGTAATAAATTCAGAGGCATCAACCTCTAAGAGATCAAGTGAATATCAGGGATCAATAAGTTATCAAAGACAGGTCCATGAAGATAGTGTACCTGCAGGAAAGAAGCCCATAAGGTGTGGCGATAACACCCAAAGTACCTTCTTAAAGGGATGGATAAATTGGTATACTTGTCAAAGTATTTTTCAAGTACGATGTCCATAATACTTAACTTTTCTTCTTTTGCCAGTTCTTGCTTTACTTTGGTGTCTGCTGCTTTCAGAAAAGAGCCTCTTGCTGTTCTGCAAGATCGAGTTTCTAAATTGCCAGAGCCTACGCCTGGGGCAAGTTCAAACATCCACTGAGCTCTGAACATCTGGAGTTGTGCCTAGAAGAAAAAAGTCTTTTAGGACTCCTCTAGAAAGAGTAGCTCAACTTGGGAACAATTTGTCAATAGGTCATATATATCTATATATATAAAACCCTAACATGAAAATAGACCGAACAGCGGAACAACCGAACCAGTCGCTATGACGTGCGCTGACCACCAGGGAGTGCACACGGAACATGGCAGGTGTCGGCCGTAGCGGGATGGTGGAGCAGGTGAGCAGGGGCTCCAGACCAAGGTGGGGCGCCAATTGCTGTCATCGGGGCAAGCCTCTGGTGGTTACTGAAAATTCTTTGCTCTATGCGCTGTGGTGCTGCCCAGCACTCACCCCTGCAGCCGGCGCTGGAGCTGCTGCTCGCATCCACTGATGGCTCCAGCCCTGCCCGCAGCCAGCGCCGGAGCTGCCACTGGCACCTGCAGCCAGTGCTTGGTGCCGTCAGTTGGTGTGAGCAGCAGCTGCCAGCCCCAATCTCCCTGAGGGCTTCTCCACCTCCACCTCCCCCTGCTCCTGAGGGGTGATGGGGCAGCAGCTGCCACTTGCACCCACTGCTGGTGCGGCCCCAGTAGCTCTGCGCTGTCAGCAGGTGCAAGAGGGGCTGGCACCGTCAGCATGTGGGAACAGTGGGAGCGGGGCTGCCAGTAGACAAGGGGCCAGGTGGGGGCATGGAGGATGGGCTGAGACCTGCCCCTGTTCCCACCTCAGCCTCACAGCCCACAGTTCCTTTCAAGGTGTACAATTCGTGCACTGGGCCCCTAGTATATATGTATTTTTTTTCCCCTAAAACCAGAAATAACACTTTTAAATTACTAAGTTAATGCCATTAAACGCCTATTCTAAAATAATTTTCTGCTTAAAACTTGAAAGAAACAATGAAAATTTGCCTAAAATAAGATTGTCTACACAGGAAAAAATCTAATGGTATGGGAAAAACAAGTTTTAATTAGAATAAAAAATATACACCATCACTTAGGCACTTAACTTAGATGCTTTCAAACATTTGTTTCCTTGGAATACACCATCTAGCAGATGTTGAGTGCTGCTAACATTTCTGTTATCTGTTAACAACCCTTCTTTTTCTTAATAAGAAAATATTTTTTCTAATACATATCATTAATCTTTTTTAAAATACAGGATAAGTGAAGTCCCCTGTGTGGTGGGCTGTGCTGTGCTGTCGCTGGGATTCCCTCAGCTGTTGGCCCTTTTGGGGTATTGCCTCAGCAAGATCACACTCCCTTCCCAGGTGATTCCTACCCAATGATACATGGATGAAAGTAATCAGTGACTGAAAAAGCCTGCCTCTCAAAGGTTCTTCCATCCTCAGGACTTCCACAGGAATAACGAAGGTGATCCATTAAGACTGCACAGCAGCTCAACTCCCCCCAACTCTGGCTTCCCTTCCTCCCTTCAAGGTGACCAAACAGTGTTGATCCCAAGAGTACTGCTTTAAATGCCTCCTACGTGGTACTCTCCATCTCCAAGTTTGCTTTCTAGGGAACCCAACCCAAGACGCTCTTTCTCCCAGAGAAGGCCATTGCCAGTAGGACTGTGTATTAGTCCTGGCTTTTAAAAAATTATATATATAAATGTTTCTAAAAATTTTTTTCTCTCCATTCTGTACACTGCTCTTTTTTGTTTTTTGACATGAAAATGTATTTATTTCTTTTTTCTTTTCTTATTGTTTAACGTATTACAAGTAGTAGTACATATGTCCTCTTTTTTTCCCCCCATTGACCTTCGGATCCCACCTTCCTACATCTAACACGTATACCTCTAACCTCAAGAATCTTTAGCAGCACTCTTAATATCTACTAGATGATGCATTCCAAATGAATATTATAAAGCTGAATAATTCAATAAGATGCACTTAACAAATTACAATGAATATTTTTCTATTTCAATGCACAAAGATTTACCCCATTCTTTTAAATGGCTGCTGTGTATTTCACTGTATGGATGCATCATTACTTAACACAAGTGATAGACACTTAGGCTGTATTCCATTTTTCCACATAAACAATGCTACAATAAACATTTCTGTACATGTATATTAACTCGCTTTCTCCCTGATTTTTTTTTTTTTTTTAATATATTTTATTGATTTTTTACAGAGAGGAAGGGAGAGGGATAGAGAGTTAGAAACATCGATTCAGCTGCCTCCTGCACACTCCCCACTGGGGATGTGCCTGCAACCAAGGTACACGCCCTTGACCGGAATTGAACCTGACACCCTTCAGTCCCCAGGCTGACGCTCTATCCACTGAGCCAAACCGGTTAGGGCTCTCCATGATTCTTTAGGATTAATTTCCTGGAAGCAGAATTGCTGGTTCAAAGGGAACGTATGTTTCTCATTTTGACCCATATTGTTACTCTGCCTTCCAAAAAGTTGTAACAATTACACTTTCATGTACATGGCATCAGTGTTCTCATAGCCTGGAGGGCAATGGGCATTATTCACCACCAATTTGATCATTTAAAAAAAAACTAAGTGTAGGTTTAATTTGTATTTTTTAAATTATTAATGAGGCTAGTTATCTTTTCAAATGTTTAATAGCCATTTATATTATTTTTTCCATTAGTTGTCCATTCATATATTTCTACCTTGTGTTCCTCTTGCTGATTTATAAGATACCCTATATACTGAGGCTATCAATCCTCTGCCCATATGTGGTAGTTTTTACAGTTGATTATTTTTCTCTTTTGACAGATTTAAGATGTCTTTTGCTATATTTAGGTTTAAAAATGTTAGGTGGTCAAATCTGTCAATCTTCTTCTTTGAGGTGATGGGTTTTGAGTCATGCCTTAAGGCCAGGTTTGCATACTTTAAACCCAGATACTGAACTACACAGCAGCAATTACTGATACATCTTTTTACAGAAAAAAAAAAAATCTATAACATAGTTATAATTTAAGCATTCTATAAACCAGTATGAAAATACAGTTAAATCCAATGAAAAGCAACCTATAGATCTTCACAATTCTGACCAATTGCTGTTTATGTTTGGAAAGCAATGGAATAAGAATTAAATATATACTGAAGAAACATGCCTGCAGATCTGTTTCCGCAGGGCTTTCGTTTTCATCATCATCTGTTCTGATCATATCAGAATGACAATCTTCCTCAGCTTCTGCCTGAAGAGGGGAAAGAGGGAAACAAATAATCAACATCAGTTTCTCTTTGAAATCTACTTGCCCAATGAAATATAAAGTTGCTTTCCTCTAAGATACTTTCCTCACAGGCTCTAGTTTTAAATGTTTTGGTAGGTGGTTAAAAAGAACAACTATGCTTTGGAAAATAACATTCAGTTGTGGTACAGAGTTCAGGACATAGTTTTGTTTCACAGATCACTTAAAAGATGATGTACGTAATCCATATATACATGTTCCTTCTTTTACACACTGGCATCTTATTAATGTGTGAATATGACTTTTTCTGCTTAATGTTTTAAATGCACTAGGAAAGCTCCTAAACCAAAGACATGTAATCGTGAAATGTCTTTTTGTAAAGAAGCCCCTTCTAGTTTGTAAATCCAGATTTTTATATATCGGATTAATTTAAAATGGAATAAATCAGGACTGTGCATGGTTTGGAGCTTAACAGAAGTCTCAGATCAATTGCTTTCATTTTATCCTTTTGTTCTCAATAAATGTTTGCTAAATTAAACTGAACCATACCTTCCAGTGAAGATGAAATGTTGCCTAGGTTCAGTCTGTTAAGTAATAGACTTATTAGCAAATGGGACTTGCTTAACACTTATTGTGGTCAGTCCTACAGAGAAATGTGACAATCAGGGAAATGACCTTGAAGGTTAGTTAGAAAAAATAATAAAACCGATTTAATTTTACTCATTCCAAAGATGTTAAGTTTCACAATTGCCCATTTTAGTTGTAATTTACTTACAGGGGGAAAAAATGTTTGTATTAGCACATATCTTGGAGTACGGTAACTAGTTACGTACTTGAACAACTTTGTAGTGCAATATAAATAAGCCTAGCTTCCTATCTTATCTCTGCGAACCAGACTTCAAGCAGAGGTGCCTTTAAGACTTGAACCAGTTAGTATATGATAAAGTGCTTGGCACACCGTAAAAGCTAAATCAGCAAAGAAATAAATAAAAGAGGCCAAAACTCAGACGAATTTCCAGAAACTGGAAAATTTGAGCAATACACTTCTTCTTCTGAGTCTTAAGCTGGGAGCTTTCCTTACTAAGAGCATCACTAATAGGAAAATACACAAGAAAGAACTTTGAATTTATAGATCCCATTGAGAAATGTATTTCTTCTCAAATAAGAGTCTGCTTTATTGTAAACTCTAAGTACAGCTAATTACAAGGAAATTGGGGTGCCCTAGGGTACCCAGGGAACAGCTTTCTCGAACTCGAGCCTAGTGGTCATACTAAACTGACTTCAACACTTCCCCCGCTCTCTCCAGATCCCTGCTCCTGGGTATGCTGCTTGAATGATGGCTGGAATGACTGTGCTTCCTTCCTCACTTGGCTACTCATCCTTCAAGATTCAGCTCAGGAATCATCCCGGTGGAGGGCATCTGCTGATCCTTTTAATTGCCTCTTTTCATTACACTTGTGCTTCTATCCCGACACATAAGACTTGCCCCTTGTGGTGACATTCTATGATTAAAAGTTTACCACAAATCACCTTACAGTTTTGGTTATATTGAAGGTTTGGTATTGTACCAGGGTCTAGCACTATGCCAGGCTGATAACAGGTGCTCAAAAAAAAAAATCGGTTGAATTAACAAATAAAATGCCATGTGGAGAGATAATGCATTTCTCAAGAATGAGGAAAACAGGAAACCTATAATACAGATGGCACCTTTCTTCTTCCCTGAGCTCCTGTGTTATCATAGAGTTTTAATCCATTATTACTTTGATTTTGACAGTGTGGCAAAAATGAGAAACTATCAATTTGGGTTTTTCGACATTTTTCAATTTAAATACCACTTGAAATACGCAGGTCCTCAGCTGTCACCCAGAGATTTTCACTTAGTTTTTCCTAATTGAGTGTGACCTAAATTTCACCTTTCACTTGAGTAGCCGGTGTCTTCATCATTTAACTCCTGTTTCGCACGTGTGATTAATGAAATATAAAAAGTTAAGTGCTTAATCCTGGTCAGAGAACCAATTCTGAAAGTTTAGGAGCATAGTTCGTTACTGCTTTCCCTATCCAGATTAATAAAATCAATTCACTCGGCCACTCATTTATTCACAATAAATATCTGAGTGTCTACTGTAAGCTAATTCGTTTGGCATCATTTCACTCTTGAGTCCTGCAGCCCTAGAGATCAGTTTCTCGGACGGACAATGATTTCAAGCCAAAGCCAGGCAGCCGAGGGCAGAGGCTACCTAGTCCGGCCTGAAATAGTCCTACGGAATGTGCGTTGTCCATTTCTGGAGCTTAGCTCAGCCTCTCCACGTGCACCGCATTGCTGCCGCTTCTCAGGCCCTCGCTGCTGAGAGGCGAGACAAAATCCTTCCAAGCCCACGCCGCCTGGCCCGCCTGCCAGCATCCTACCCAGGGCACTGCCGCGTCACGGGGCGCCCGGAGCCCAGGCCTCCCCGTGGGCACGGCTTTGCAGAGGGGGAGCAATCAACAAGTGCCCCCGTTGGCCAGGGCGCCCTCCGGATCCAGATGCGGCGACGGCTCAGCTCAATCTGCTCAGTGCTCCGGCTAAAATCCCTCGAGAGGAGCGAGGCTGCTTCAGGGTCCTCAGCGAGCCGAGAGGAGGCATTTTTCTCCGCCGTCCTGCAAACCCACTCTCCTCACATGGACCCCGGCTGAGGGTTCAGCAGGAAGAAAGCCCGGGGGGGGGGGGGGGTCAGGGCTGGCACCCCTCCACTCCTCGGGTCAGAGGTCCTATCATGGGTAGCGGCCGTGCAGCTCCCACCCCTCCCAGCCCCTTTCTGCTCCCTCAGGGTTCCTCCCCGCAGGCCTGGCCCCTCGGCACACCGCACCCCCTCCGGCACACCGCACCCCCGCCTCGCAGGACCCTCCCGACCCCCTCCTCAGGTTACCATGCTGGCGGGCCGGCCGGCCGCGGTTGAGGGGCTCTCGGCGCCCCCTCGGCACCGTCCCCCGAAGAGGTGTGCTGGGTGTCCGGGTGTCTACTCCTGCCTGTCTAGTGCAGGGGGCTTAGCAGAGTTCTCGGTCGGAGTAGCGCACCAGGCAGCGGCGGTAACTGCGGGCCCGGCGTACGGCAGCCATCTTCGCGGGATCGGGGGCCAGATCGGGGCGCGCTGGGGCGGCGGCCGGGGACGCGAGGAGCGGAGAGACACCCGTCGCTAGCGGAGGCCGGAGACTGTGCGAGAACCAGAGCGTCCGCCCTGCTGAAGACCCCACACGCCGCCGCAGAGCTCACCCCTCCGCTGCAGAAAGCTGCTCCGCCGCGCCGAGCATGCGCAGTGCCCCGCCGCCGCCGCCGCCGCCGCCTGCGTGGGCGGCTCGGCCGGACCGCCGGCGCGTGCCGCCTAGTGGAGGACCAGGGGGCGTGGGCCTACTGTGTGCGCGAGGCCAAAACTAGGCGAGAGGCCGAACCCACTTTTTGGGCTCAGTGAACATTTATGCAAACTTGAAAAACCATTATCTCAAAAATGTAACTCAAAGGGTGGGTGGGTAGAGATCAACCAAAGAACTTGTATGCATGATGCATATAACCCATGGATACTGACAATAGGGTGGTGAGGGCCTGGGGCGGGGGTGCGGGAGAGGGCTAGAGGGGGTCAATGGGGTGGGGGGGGAAAGGGGGCATATGTAATACTTTAAACAATAAAAATTTAAATCTTTAAAAAAAAAAGTAACTCCTTAAGGGTTGAGACCCTATGGCAAGTAGCCCTAATGAGCATCGAAGTAGTGCTCGGGGCTGTCCCGCGGCGACTCTGGCTGAAGTGCCACACCAGGAATGCAGGGGAACTGTGAAACCCGCTACATCACAGGCTACTGTATCCACTTAACTTTTTAAAAGCACGGGTCTGGAGGTTGAGGAAAAGATGGGTTTAGGAGAGCGGCAGGGGGATGTAACCTCAGCCACAGCCAAGGAAGGTCTCACTACAGATCCCATCATGCAACGGGGGAAGGACTAGCAAGTCCTGCCCAGACGGCGCCCGGGAGACTCTGGGATTTGTAGTCGCGGTTCCGCGCTGAGCTCTGGAACTTGCAAAGGATACTCGCCCCACCTCTTAAAGACCAAACACTCCATTTCACTCCCACAGGCATTCTTATCAGGCGATATACAGTTTTATTTTCACACACTTGACATTGTTTTAAATACGGAATTTTGCATGCTCAATGAAAACCTACAGTCGTAGAGCCTCTTACCTTCTTCACTCAGCAAAAATTTAAGAAGTTTCTAGCTTCTATTAGGTAACAGGTACGAAGACCCTACTTTCAACAAGTTCACAGAGTTTAAATCTCTTATCCTTTATCTTATTCTGGAGATCTTAGAATCTGGGGCAGAAACATAGAGGGCAAAAAAGGGGGATGGGGAGGAGAGAATGGTGAGCTACATACAATATGGAAGCCCAACTGCTGTCTTAATATGGGATCCTCCCTTCGGATGGGTGTTTTTAGTTGCACCCTAAATCAGCTACCAATAAAAAGTGCCTTCATGTTTCATGGAGAACCAAAGTTTAAATGGTTTTTAGCTTTTAAAAGAGACTTTAGGCTTAGGTCTTTTAAGGATGATTTTCCTGCCCTAGCTGGTTTGGCTCAATGGATAGAGCGACAGCCTGTGGACTGAAGGGTCACAGGTCTGAGTCCCGTCCAGGGCAATTGATGTGTCTCTCTCACAGATGTTTTTTCTCTCTGTCTCTCCCCTTTCCTTCCACTCTCTCTAAATATCAATGGAAAAATATCCTTCGGTGCGGATTAAAAAGGATGATTTTCTTCCCAATGATCTCTTTAAAAGGATTTTGAAATTTAAATCTGAGGGAAAGATTAGATGTAAGAATTTATAACAGAAGAAAACTGTATGTGACTCATGAATACAAAAAATCAGTTTTGCAAATGAAGAATAAGGTATAGAAATATTTTAAGAACTCTATTTCATTAAGCTGTTGAGTGCTAATTTGAGGTATCTGGGTCAATTAGCACAGATAATTTCTATTTTTCTAGCAAATAAACAATGAAAATTAATAAAGTAATAATTAGCATTTGTAATGATAAATTGAGCACATGTTTTATTAAAATGTTTTTAGGTTTCATAGCTACTAACTTTCTATCCATCAGTATCCATTAGACCTCTTTACAGGGTTCTACTGTCACCAGACGGGGCAGAGTAGGTCTACCTCAGTGCAAACTGTAGTGTGTGGATTCTCGACTTTGTACAGGAAAGATTTCACAATACAAGTCCAGTGATTTTGAGAGTTCATTTATTAAAGCTGGGGACAGTGAAACAAAGGAAGGACTGGGGTAAGAGAAGCAACAGCAGAGAGCCTAGGTGGGGCTGCTTTGACTCCCTAGAAACGTCATAGGAAAGAAATGAGCCAAGGCAGGGCTGCTTTTGGCTCACTGGAAAGTCAGAGAAAAAGGCGGCCTTGGAGGCAGGTTCAGGGGGTAAGCCCGGACAAGCTGCCACTGCCCTCTGGTTATAAGTCTCATGGAGACCCTTAGAGTTTAGGAGAAAGAAAGTAAAAAGTTCTAGAGAGATCCTGCATTGGGTCTTTGTCTTGAGGGTTTTTACCTTTTTTCTGCAGTTGAGAAACTTAGGGGAGGGTCTCAGGAGAATATGCATCAGCTTTCCAGGTGCATTTTTAATATGCTAATATATCAAAATGAGCATGTAGAGGAATTTGGGATTATTCTTTGGTCAGCTTTACTTTTTTCTTAGGTCTGTCTGGCTCTAATCAGGTGTTTGTTATATGTTCCCCTGATTTTATCCGTCCTTGGGTTTGGTTGGCACATATGGCATTAGTTGGGTTTCTGTTCTCTATTTCCCCCCACCAGGGTGATTTAAACTATGTATTCTCTGGTTAAGGAGGGGAGGTATAAACCATTTGCTCTCAAGTGTCCTTGGTTGGTTAGGGAAGATAAAGTCTTACAATTCACTAGCTGTAAATTGTTCAAATTGTTTGGCCTTGTTCTTGTCTCAGTTTCCCATTCCATTTGCCCAGGAATTTTCTTAGCTTCTTACTGTCCTGCCTCATACTATATCTACCGGGTTGTAATTTTCCCAGAGACTAGAACTACTGACTAAGCCATTTACTAGCCCAGTGGACACTTGTTAAGGTACACCAAGATAGTCCCTCTATTTGCTAGGTACACTTTCTTGGACAACTGAATTTGACTAAAATTGATCATTTTAGATACTTTAAAAATCATTTTTTCATGAGAGTAGCATAAAATTTGCGAGGCTCCCTCTTATTTCCTTGTCATGTCATTGATAACGATTTTTCATTTGCCACGTGGTTTGTGTGTTGCATAGGTAAATACAAACGTAGACAAATGTTATTATACATTTTTCCAGATAGCCTGATGACGCTTTCCCACTTAGGACAGGAGGTCTAAGAAAGCTTGACTGTCTTGTAGGTTTCTCCAACAGGAGCAAGAGGAGAGAGGGAATCAGTACTCTTGTACAGCTTCTTTAGGAAAAACAAAACAAACCAACGATCTGTCTTCAGTTCTTCGAATTCAAAAATAAAATAGTGAGAGAAAACTGATATAGTGATGAGCTGGGGGATTTACACTCAGAACCAGCGTGTAAGGGGTTACTGCTTTATGAATTACAGTAGTGCTGCTTGGGGCAATGTGGTTCCATTGACCAGCACCAGAATTCTGAGCATAGGGCCCAGCAAACTTGTTTTAACAAACTGATGCCTCCAACTACAGTTTGAGAACCATTGGCTTGGGCAATTATGTCAATTTAAATGGAGGACCTTGAAGCAATTTCTTTTTTCAAAGCGCTCCAGAGCTAGACCTTATATGAATGATTTAAGGTAATACCTACAATACAAGTGAATGTGTTTAAAAAGTGTTAAGTGTTAAATTCCGTAGAGTAACTAGTTATAGAAGACAACTGTTTCCTACCCGGATAACAATTCCGTCTTTCAGACTAAAGTTGCTCTTACAGTTCAAATGAATACAGCAGGCCATCAGTTGCGCCTTTATTTTAAACATTTTCATTGTGGTCAAAAATATATAACCTAAGTGCCATCTTAACCATTTTGAGTGTGCAATTCAGGGGCATTGATTTCCTTCACCATGTTTTGCAACCTCAATGACGATTTTTTTAAAAACCAGGAACAATGTTTTCACGATGACCTGTAATGAAATGTTCTCGGCATGTGCATCCACGGCCACCATTCCTACATCTCCATACGTGTGCAGCCGAGCTGCAGGGAGGCGTGCGTTTGGAGCTGAGGTCGCATTCCTGGTCAGCTGGCCGCAGGGAGCCCCGGGCTCTGGCGGGCCCCCAGCGGGGACGGGAGCGCGTCGGCTCTGCGCTCCCGGGCGCCCTGCTCGCGGTGCAGGAACGCGCAGGGCCAGCGAGGGGAGCTGCAGGGTAACTTTTCCCAGGGAAGGCGGCCCGTCGTCCTCGCTAGAAGCCTCCCTGCCTTTTGTTTGTTTTCCTGCTGGAGGCTGGAGAGCGGCCGGGTTCCTGCTGCTCTGCCATGCGCCACGCGGCCCGTGCGACTCGCCGGTCCTCCTGGGCGTCCCTGCACGGACGCCTCGGCCTGTCCTAGCAGGGATCGCCCCCATTCTCAGTTCCCGAGGGGCTGCTGCGCCCCACTAGCCCGAGGAGCTGTGCTCACCGCAGGGGCGGGCCCCCGCCTGTGTTCGCCGCGCCAGTAAGTGGGGTCAGGGATCGAGGGGCTTCTGCCGGGCGACCTGTCACTCGGGGTGATGCACCGGAGCTGCGGAAGGACCCTGCCCCGTGGCCTCTTGAGTGATCGGGGCGGGAGGGAGCGGTGAATGGGCTGTAGTTTCTCTGCGCGGTCATGTGGGTCTCTCCCTTCCCTGTAGGCATGAAAACTCGCATTTCCTCGGAGTCGGGAAGATTTCGATGGGTGTTTACCTTCCAGTGTTTAAGAGGGGGAGAGATTCGTGCCCGATTTGAAGCCCCTGTAGTAGGAGGTGGAGGACTTGCTCTGGAATTTTCCTGACTAGGCCTTTGGCTGTCCCGCAAGGGGTCTGAGCAAGAATCCTCACACATTTGTGTGCAACCATTTTTCACGGGGTTTCTTTCTGCTCTGATTTCTTTCTTACCAATGGGAGTACCTGTTAGGCGAGGGATGTTGAAGGATTTTCCAGGACAGGAGTTTCTTTTGTAACGCACCTTCTAAAGTTTGCCTTTGACACTAGCATTGAGGGCTTTGACTTTTAAATATAAAAGTAGTTTAAGGCATCCTTCCGCAGAAAAGAGTATTCGTTTCCACTTACAACTAAATAAAGATCTGCTTTTGCGAAAGCTTGACTGTGCTGAGAGGATACCACCTTGGGTTTTGCATTCAGGGCTGGATTTTTCAAAGGTATTGGCAGCTGTGGGTTTTTTTTTTTATTATTATTATTTTTATTTTGCCCTGGACCACTTTTTATAGCAATAGAAGTTTGATAGCTACGGTTTTCATTTCTTACCTTTTCCAATGAGCGGACTTCCTGGATGTGCCCCAATAGTGAATTGTACTATTGCTGGATATACAATTAAGATAAGCTTTAAATTTGTGTAGTCAATGTATAAGTAATTAAGAAGAATTTGTGTCTCAACCATATGCTAGCTGTGCTAGGAGTTAATGTATGCATAAAAACGCACATTTGAAATAGTTTCTGAACAAAGCGCTGCGATTCGGTACAGAATCTTGAAGGCCTTCCTGTCTGAGGACCAGTCATTGTAAAACACTAAGAAGTGGGTGTAGAAATGAGAGCTGTGCTGGAATTCTTTATGGAAAAGGATATCCTCTCCCTGAGGTCCAGCCCTCTACAGTGACCTGCCCACTTTTTATTTCCCCTCTCCATTTGGCTTTGTCCCCATCTCCAAAGTCAAAACTGGTGGTTGGGCAGAAGTGGGCAGTCATGTTTCTAAGTGAGACCTGTTTAATTTTAGATGATGGAGGGATTTTTTAAAATTTATCTTTATTGTTGAAAGTTTTACAGATGTCTCTCCCCCCCCCCCCCCCCCCCCGCCCCACTAAACTCCTCCTCTCCCACCCCTTCTCCAAGTCTTCCTGACACTATTGTTTGTCCATGGGTTATGCATATATGCATATACGTTCATTGGTTAATCTCTTCCCCACCCACCTTCCCTCTGAAATATGCCAGTCTGTTGCATTGAAATGTCTCTGAATCTTTTATGTTCATCAGTTTATTTTGTTCATTAGATTCCACATATGAGTGAGATCATGTGATACTTGTCTTTCTCTGACTGGCTTATTTTGCCTAGCATAATACTCTCCAGGTCCCTCCGTGTTGTCTCAAAGGGTAAGAGATCCTTCTTTTTTACTGCTGCATGATATTCCATTGTGTAAGTACCCATTAGTTGACAAATGGATGGAGTGATGTTTTGAAGGGTTGATGGGGCCTATCTGAGTAGGCCGAGGCCTGTCTTTCTTACCCAGGGAACTCAGCATTTGGTCACAAAGAAATGGTTTTTCTCAGTGAACTTTCCTACTACTGATTATATATGTAAATGAGCTACCAGGATAAAGAAAAGGCCTTTTGGGAGTGGTTATTTGTTGACTGTTCAACATCATCAAAGCCCATGGTTGGTCGTATTCTCATTGCTTTTTGAGGTTCCTGGTAAAGGTGGAAATCATGTTAATATTGAACCTTTGGAATGATCTTTTCCTTCATTTCCTTCCTCCTTCATAGCAATGAGTCATCTCCACCTGTTACACATAATGTATTTTAATCCAGAACCACACCTTACCTCTCCTGCAGACTGGAGCAGCCTCTTAGTTACCCTCCCAAGCTTGGCTCTTAGTAAGTCCTCAGTAAATGTTTGCTGAATGAATGAATGAAGAATGAATGAGATGCTTCCCTTTCTGGAATTTTCAGCATTCCTTGTTTGTCTAAACTTTTTAAACCTTTAAACTATCACTTCCTTATGCTGCTCCTAGCTTTCCCACCTGTGGTCCCTCTCCAGTCTCTAAAATAATTTGTCTAATTTTTCAAGGCCTTTATCAGGCTTCATCCCTCCCACCTAAATCTTGTTTTCCGTTTAGCATACATCTTTGCGCTCTATGGGATTTGGTCTTCTTGCTCTCCTGCTAAAGGGGCCAGGCTCTCCCTAGAAACTCCCTCCCTTCTCCCCACTCTCCTTTGCAAGTCTGAAATCTTACCCATCCTCCATTTTTTCATAATGTCTTCTCTACTCAATTTTCTCCTCTTTCTTTAAAGTCTTAAGACACTTATGTGTGTGTTGTTTTTTTAGCCCTTCCTTATACTGGCCATATTGACCTCTAATTGGCTTAGGCTATTGTAAGCCTCTTTGGGGGCAGGATCCATATTTTATGCATGGTAATGTGGCATTGTGGGCTTTGGAGTCAGGCAGAATTGAGGTCAGGGCCTGACTCTACTTATTACGCATGTGGCCTTGTGGGATTCACCCAGCATTAGTCCTCTCACATGTAAACTAGGGGAAATGCTTTCCCCGGCTGACTGTGTTGTTGAAGATGGCTTGGGGCCTAAACAGTGCCTGTCATATACCTGACAAAAACCTGCTCATTCCCAGACACTGACTCACAGAGACCTGAACACGTTACAAATATTTGGTCGATGTTTGTTAATTGACTTGTAGTAAGTAGACCACGAGTCATGGCTCGGCCTGGAAGCCCAGAGCATGGGCAGTCATGCTGTGAAGCTTAGCGAGTGTTATCCTGCCCTTACTTAAAATGGCTTGAGCTTAGGCTATTCCTGGCTAGTGCTCTGCTTCTGGGATCTGTTGCTGTTTTTCCATCTGAACCTTGCCAGGAACACTACTGCCTTAAAAAAAAATTTTTTTAAACTGCTTCTCTTGAGGCAAGCTCCTCCATTTCATTTGGCAGGATCTTGCTGAGTTGGAGTTTTACCTCACAAGTCCTTCTATTTTTCTGCTTGTGGGGTATGTATGAGTGTATGTGTTTATGGCAGAACTACTTGCGTGGCACTTTCTTGGCAGATTTCTGGATACAGTGACCTTCGTGTATATGTTGATCTGTCAGCCTGTGAATAGTGTCTCACTTAATTATAAATTCTCTCATCAGCAGTCTGACAAACTCGGCATTCTGCGGCGTTCTGAGAAGGACCTCTGACTAGAGCAGCCGTGGGCAAACTACAGCCCGCGGGTCCGATCCGGCCCGTTTGAAATGAATAAAACTAAAAAAAAAAAAAAAAAAAAAAAAGACCATACCCTTTTATGTAATGATGTTTACTTTGAATTTATATTAGTTCACACAAACACTCCATCCATGCTTTTGTTCCGGCCCTCCGGTCCAGTTTAAGAACCCATGTGGCCCTCGAGTCAAAAAGTTTGCCCACCCCTGGACTAGAGTCTCGGAAATCTCCGATCTGGGCCTCAGTGTTTGTGGCTGATGTGCAAACAGAGGTGTGTGCAGGACAACTTACACACGTATTGTTTGGGGATGATAGTGTAACCTTGTCCTAGGTTGTGGCTGTGCTGACATTTGAAACACAGTTTTAACTTCCTTATAAAGACACGTGCTCTACAAAACTACCCCGTAAAAATAATTTAGTGAAGCAAATCATTTTCTGGGGCACATTACATTAAAATGCTAAGAACGTGTTATGGCAGGAAGGAATCAGATGCCTTTACTTGCAGCCAAATAGGAAGTTAAAGAAGCAGCTCAGGTTCCTTCCGAGAAGGTGAGGAAGTTGGCATGGTCATTTGTACTCAACCTCTGCACCTAGTGAGGTGCTGTCCGAAGGTAGGAAAATGTCATTACTCAACAGATCCTAGAAAGGTACTCAGTCCGTTCCTGATTTCCTTCCAAGGAAACTGAAGCATCCTTGCTCATTGAGTAAATGTGTGTGCTTTGAAAGTCGAAACCTTCATGGAAAGAGTGTGGTCAGACTTGCTGGTGCAGCTGGTGTGCATTGACTTGTGACATTGTCTCAGAGTCTGAAGAAAGCAGATCTGCAACTCTTTTTAATATGTGGTTCAGAATTTGCAAGCCTACATAATAAACGGGTAATATGCAAATTGACCCTAACGACAGAACCATCACTGGACCAGTCACTATGAGGCGTACTGACTACCTCTTGGTCCCTTTACCCAGCTGGCAGGCTCCGATCGCCTGATGGCCACCTGTGGTGGGGGCGGGGCCGGCGAGCAGGCAGGAACAGCCGACTTCTCAGTCCCTTCCCCTGGCTGTCAGGCACCCATCACCCGACTGCGAACGGGGAACTGGGGTTGGGTGGCGGCGGGGGGCGGGGCCGGCTATGGGCAGCTGGGGAAGATGGCCCTGATCGCAGGCCAGGCCTAGGGACCATACCCACGCACGAATTTCATGCACTGGGCCTCTAGTACATTCATATACTTTTTACAAAAGGGCAAGTGGGGAGTATTTGACACATCTCTAATAGATTATTAAAACATTTCTTGCCATGGTCAGGTGGCTCAATTGCTTGGAGCATCATCCTGTATACCAAAAGGTTGTGGGTTTGTTTCCTGGTCAGGGCACATACATAGGTTGTGGGTCTGAGCCCCTGGTCAGGGTACAGTTAGCGCACATACAGGAGGCAACTGATCGATGTTTTTCTCTCACATTGATGTTTCTTTTTCTCCCATCCTTCCTCTCAGAAGATTGATAAAAACATGCTTAGTGAGGATTAAGAAAAAAATAAACACTTTTAT